AGTTTCAATGGTTGTGTGTATAAATGCTTTTTTCTTGAATATCAGGATTATCTACTATTCGAACCGATGCTAGAAAAACCTGTTGTACACGGGTTTCTCCTCAGGTCTCGTGCTTAAAATGACGCCATTATGAATTGATTACATCCTTAAGATGACGTCATTTTGCCGTTTCATAATAAAATACAAATACATAATCTACTATAGTAAAAAAGTGCTATATGCAGATATTAGTTATTATAATTTCCTTCCGAAATATGAATAATATTTTATATGTAAGAAAAAGAACAAAACATCGGCGGTCGTCACAGACGGAAATATATCTAGCTGTCGTTACCTCCGTCAACAGTAACACTCGAGCTAGACATTCCGGCTTGTACCGGTAGTCCGTGTATCATCTTTATAATATCAACGTGATGGTCTTGGTGTTGAAGTCAAATAGCGGAATATACGCGCAAAGTGCAGTGCGGGTTGTTAAACTGAAAGTTTACCGTTAAGATTTGCACTTCATTAATATGATATGCTTATCTTTAACTTGATGATCTATTCTACAGTACTGAAATTGACATCTGAAATCTTAGCTCTGGTATATTTGCATTTAACATAATTATGAATAGTTTCATGTCACCTTCTGCTTCACATGTGTTCTTTATAATAGCAATCTAAACTTTTTTATTAGCATCTTTGTTATATTTTTGTCTACCTGTAATAATAGATTCATATTTACAGAATAATGTATCACCATGCATATGTAAATATACGATAAGATAAAATATTGTAAATCAACAAGTGCACAATGAATCTTACTTTGTGCAAATTACGTTATCTATGAACGTGACCAATAAATTGACAACATCAATTGTAATATCCTATGACAAAGTACAATAAAGTGTTTATAAATTGTGTATAATAAAACAACATTCACTTCCTGTCTTCTTCATGCAAATAAATTTCCCGTTCGTATTGTTTTATTTTTAAATTTATTAAAAACATGATATCCGGAAAATCAAAACTTAAGTTATGTCCCGGACAAAGTTCAAATTGTAAAAATGAACACAAACTTAACAATCAGGGCAAGACAGAGTTAAGATTATTGCACTTTGAACTAATGAGCTGTATCTTCCTACAACGTTTCTAAATGATATCTTTGTTGTGGTTTCAGAGTTATTTACGGGGCAATGTTAATAGTAAAACACTAAAAGAAGGCAATAAATCGAAAATAGGACAAGGCAGAGTTACTGGTCTTTTGCACTACACTTTCCCCAATTGAGATCTATCAAACTACTTAGTTTTTGTTGACACCTCTTGTAGTTTTAGAGCTATGTTCATGGCAAAATTTAAAATGTTAAAAATTAAAAAGAGCAATAACTCCAGAAAAGGAAAATAAGTTATTGTTCTTTTGCACTTCACTGTTACTCAATGAGATCTATCTCCCTGCAAAGTTTCTTGTTTATAACTCTTGTAGTTTCAGAGGTATGTCTTGGACAAAATTCAAAATGTTTGTATCAACAAAGGCCAAACGGAAATAATTAAAAAAAATAAGGGAGGCAATGTTACAGTTATGTTGCTTTGCATTTCTACTAAATGAGATCTATCAACCTACAACATTTCTTGTTTTTTATCTTTTGTAGTTTCAGAGTTATGTCGCTGACAAAGTTCTAATTGTAGAATTGAACAAAGGACAATTACTCCTGAATAAGTCAAGGCAGAGTTACAGTTTTTTTCCACTGCACTTCTACTTATGAGATCTATCGTCCTACAACATTTCTTGTTGATACGTTTCGTAATGTTCACGTTCTGACAAAAAATGGGACGCCGGACATCCGGACTGACGGACAAAGCGGCGACTATATGTTATCCCATCGGGGAGCATAAAAACAGGAAAATGATATGTAAGGATACTCATTTCATACTTTGAATTCCTCTCACTAGTATTCGTCAATAATATCAGACTATATATGCTTTTAAAACAACATTACACTGTAAAAAGTCCGGATATTTTGTGTTTTATTCATGATTAATTTTTTACTTCAACCGTCATTTTTATGAATGGTAAAGTTCATGTTAGTTCTACAATAATCTTATTGTTTCATTCTCTTTTCTTCCTCATACTTGGTCATACATTTGAAATGGAAAGTCAGAGAATCGTTAGAAATTGTACTAATGTATATAATGCTGTTAAACCTACAATGTAGATATACAATGAAGGCGCCAAACGTATGGTTTCTTGCTTCGCGCGTTTGTAAATGGTGACAGTATTTTATTTACTGTAATATTATTTATTCATTTATTGGATCACATGAACATTAAACCCAAAACGTAAGTTTTTATTTCCTATGTTTTCGATTAACAATGATATTGACTCACTGGGCTGGTAAAAAAATTGCCGAATTGTATTTAGAATGCCCTACCATTAGATCTTTAACAAATAATACACTATTTTTAAGTATGGTATTGAGTCAGTCTTTAAAGTTCTCGATATCCATTTATTCGTATATCTATTATATAGGTTGATATTGATTTTCTAAAATAAAAAAAGATGTAAAGAATTATCAGTCATTACATACGCATATATGTATGTATGCACAAAAACATGTCTATCTAATGAACGGAAATGTAAAAAAATTACCGGGTGACTTAATGTTAAACATTTTCAAAAGGAAAATTTTTCAACACCAATGAAAACAAAACGTAAAATTGCAGAATCGTTTAAATTGAATCTATTCGAAATGAAAGTGTTACATCCCACTCCTCTAGAACCGGCTTAGCATTAACAGTAATTATAAAACTGAAAATTGAAAGAAAGATAAGACGACGTTTGATTTGAATATGTGTTTTATCATATATTTCCAACGAAAATAAACCATATATTACAATACAATATAAATCAAAATGAATTTGATATGGACTTTTTTGGATATTTTATATAAAAGGATGTTATAATAAATGGAAACATGAAGTATGATTGTATAAAAGAAACTCTAAATGTTAATTGGCCATTGTTTAAAGTATTATTATTATAGTAAAATATGATACCAAAGAGTATATAAAAGTTAATAATTATGTTGAAAGAAATTATAAATGTTCTGTTGGAAATAGTTTTTTCCTTTGTTATGTAAATTTAAGCTTTGATTTGTATAAGAATTCAGTATCAAATAAATATTTTAAATAAGGATAGAAATGCTTATTGGACATTTAAGATAGTATTATGAGATTGTAATAAAGTCCTGAATCAAAAGCTTAAATAACCGAACACCAGCCGAGTCCGAGATAGGTGATAGTCAACTAGCATTAATATTGTATAAAACAATGTACAGTTACTTAGAAAACGAAGAAAACTGAGGACATTTTGGATTTTAAATGGATATTTTCGAGTCGAAAATTATAACGAACCTAGATGGAGTGAAATATACATTTTGGAGTTTTGTACTAAACAAAAACAACAACAACAAAAAAAAAACAACAGCAACAAAAAAACAATCAAAAAACGATTGGTCAAATTTGATCCTATAATGGTTTTTCATTGGAGCATTACATGCAACCGATAAAACTTTTGAAAATCATGAAACTGATTAATATTGATTATTCATTCAAAAAGTATGTCATTTGTATCTCAACACTTAAATGATATAACAATCAAGGAAATCATATCATTGTGTTTATTATTATTCCTAATATTATTTACTCGTTATGTATAAAAAACGAGAGTAACAAACAAAATAGGCTCCTCAATCATATATGGTATAAAAATTTAATTGAATTTTTCGGTTTCGGTCTCAACAAATCAATTATATATTATGACTATATCTGATATTTTGACATATAATTTACGTGTCAAATACTTAAGAATTCCAAAAAGTGCATTTATTGTTGGACACTATGCTTCGTTGTTAAATATTATGTTAAATCCCAATAAATCTAAATTGCCTTCGAATAAATAAAAATTGAAAAGATAGGAGGAAATAAACTGAATCGTTTCTCTAACACAGTATCCTTTAAGAATGCTGATGTGTCATTTAGAAGCTTTTGCGGGACGTGATATGTTAATGAAAATCTAGAATAAGAGTGATATCTCGGATGCAGTCTCGATTTGATTGAGTAATAACAGGAGGGGGAATGAAAAAGTGCAACATCCCTCACGTACCATAGCACCGGCTTGAGCAGTACTGTATCTTCGTTCAACACACAAAAGTGTTGGAATTAATGAATCCAAAAGACAAAAAAATATAGCAAGACTAAAGACAAGTACGGGCAACTGTTTACAGCTTCGCACCTGCTATTGTGGAGTATAATAAGTGACTTCTTTGTCCAGAATAAGCTTTATAAATCAAAACAACAGTAAAATCATTGACATTCTCGAGTGTATATGGTTTTTTTTCAGGAATTTAAACACAAGAAAAAATGTATGTATGAAAATGGCTACTTTTGTCCAAAATATGTTGAACAAACCAAAACAAAAACAACAACCACAACAACAACAACAACAACAAGAAAGTCAGTGACATTCCCGTGTTTATATGAAATACTGTTTGTCTTAAGAAATAACGCATTATCTTCGTTGTTATCGTATTTCTTTTTATTTTCAGATGTTATCCTCAACATTAACATTCTTGTTTTTCGTTATAGTGTGCTGTGGTAGGTAACTTATTTATCGTGCTTATAAAAGTTTAAGTATATTCAAATACAAGTAAATATTTCCCTAATAATCAAGTATTTCAAAAGTTATTGTTAAAATGTTTGAATAATACAACTTTTGTGATTTGACAGAAATAGTGCTTGTTATTTTGCTTGTTATTTTAAAGGAGTGTAGACTGTCTTATTCCAATCCCTTTGACGTGAAGCATTGGTTATTGACAAAGATCGTAAATTTCTGTTTAAGAATTTTATAATTAAATGATGGAACTGACGTGTCTTGAATTAATTTAAAATATACAAAATTAGTGTTAACAATTCTAAGAAAAAATATTATTTCATTTTAGAATCAATTGAACCACTTTGCCCGAATGGCTGCAAATGTAAGTCAACCGGTTACTGTTATGAGTGTGAAACAGGATATTACAAGCTGGATAAGGAATGCAAGAGCTGTTCCAAAGGCTGTAAGGATTGTTCATCAAACAAAACATGTAAGACATGTGACATTGGGTTTTATGCCCGCTATGATAATACAAACAAGATTGTTTGTCAGTCATGCACGAAAGGTTGTAAAAAATGTTCACCAGCTGATGTATGTTTAGAATGTGATATTGGTTATTTCAGAAACGATGATCATATATAAATGTATGTTCGAAATGTTCGACTGGATGTAAGACTTGTGAATCGCATATGGTTTGCCTTTCGTGCCTACGGGAATTTCAATTAAATGATACTTATTGTCAGCCATGTCAAAAAGGTTATTTTGTGTCTAATTCTGGATGTATACCTTGTCCAGACAAATGCGCATCGTGTTCTTCCCCAAATGAATGCATTGAATGTAAATATGGTTTTTACGGTAATTTGTGCGATCACAAATGTTCCTCGGGATGCAAGGACGATGTTTGTGACATGATCACTGGTAACTGTTCATGCAAGGAAACACATGTTGGGCATTATTGCAAAATGTGCGTTCCAAGAAAGTTTGGACATGACTGCGAATTTGATTGCCCTAAAGAATGCTTGACCTGTGATATAAATGGCAATTGCACTGTCTGCAATACTGGATATTTTGGAGTGAAGTGTAAATGTTCAAATAGGTGTCTTGACAACAAATGTGATAGATTGACAGGTCTATGTTACCGTTGTAAGCCGTTCTTCAAATGGCCATGTGCGCATTGTGTGGACGGAAAATACGGTGTAAACTGTGAAAGAGATTGCCCTAGCAATTGTCTTTCATGTTTATCAGACACAAATTGCACGAAATGCAGAGACGGGTTTTACGGACAGTTCTGCAACCTTACATGCCCACAAAATTGTTTAGATTCATGTAATAGTTCAGGTTATTGCAATAATTGTAAACACGGATATCATGGGAAGCTCTGTAACAAAAAATGTTCAAAACGTTGTTTGCAAGATAATTGCTTTATGAATGGAAATTGTGCACAATGCACTGCTGGAGTTTATGGTAAACGATGTGAACACACATGTCCCTTGCAGTGTCAGAAATGCACAAGTAAAGCATTTTGTGTTTCTTGCACGAATGGTTACTTTAGTCATAATTGTAGCAAACAATGCAGTTACTGTAAGAATAATACTTCTTGTAATATCAAAACGGGTCAATGTGAACACTGTTCAGATGGAATGTATGGAAGCAAGTGCGAGTTTCATAAATGTCCTTCGAATTGTTTCAATGTGTCATGTAACGCAGATAGTGGCATGTGTTACAACGGCTGCAAAAAAGATTATTGGGGAAAGTATTGCAATAAGCGTTGTCCACATAATTGCCTCAATAACACGTGTTCTGAAGAGAATGGGACATGCAGTCATGGCTGTGTTAATGAATACCACGGAAACACGTGTGAGTGTCCAAGGGATTGTATTTGTAACAGTTCAGGCAATTGTAGCCGGTGTGTCAATGATAATTTCTATGCGCCACTTTGTGACCAGGTTTGTAGTTATTTATGTTTAAATCGAACGTGCGACTTTTTCACGGGAAACTGTAATAAAGGATGCAAGCTGGGATACTTTGGAAACAAATGCAACAGAACAGGTAGAAGCAATTGTCATTATTTAATTTTAATATGCGGTAGAAAAAAAACGTGTATACAGTAAGAAAGTTCATGAATCAAATCCTTAACATACGAGTAGTACATGTAAAAAATATAAATATAATATAATATTATAATAGTAATATAAATATAAAGTTGTAAGAAGTATTCTTGCTTATTTAAGATGAACAAATAATGATTTGTAAAAATAATTATCAAAATAATTGTACCTTCATCTTTAAACAAAGATTACGATTCCTTTAATGATATTCAATCTTTATATATAAGATATTCTATTTCTTGTTTTCTTTTACAGTAAACCCAAACGGAATTTCAAGCAGCTTATTACAACCTATTCATATTGTTTTGCTGATTGTTTCTCTTGTCATTTTGATCCTTGTCGCGGTCATTATGGGAATATTTCTAATAACAAGGTTTGAGTTAGTTATATCAAAACATAACTAAAACCCGTATAATCATGAATAGTTTGTTAATCAAAACAACTGTTATTAAAGGTAACTATTACAATCTCCGGAACCATTGTTTGATTATGTTGCCTTATGATTATTAGTACGGTGATAGTGATTTAGTATTTTGTATGGAAATAAAAATACTGCTTTTGTCACATTTAACTATTTTCATGACAAATAATTTCATATTCTTCGCTAATTTATATCGAACATGCTGTTTTATTATTTTTTCAACGTTATAAAACCCACGTTTTTTTTTTTTTGTTCTAGGGATGGAAAAATACACATTTTTAGGCATATTGTGCATTTGACGTATATATAATGAAATATTTTCAAACTGTTTGTTTGAATTATTAAAACATCACAGTATGTTGAGTTAAAAGTGTTAGTTTACTTATATTTGTATTCGTTTTTCTCTACCTTTCTACAAACCTGTTTCAACAACATAAACAATGTTATTCTGTTATAACAATTACACAAAATTAATTGAAAAAAAGGAGATGACTAGCTAATAAAAGTTGAACTTGCATGTTTGTTGCATTTTCAGTTATATAACAAAACAGAAAGAACTCGTGACGGGGAGTTTTAGCGGTTCCTTAACTTACAGACAAGTTCGACGATCACAAGAAATACTACCTTCTGAACGTAATAGTAGAATCTTTTAATTATGTATTTTTTAACATTTAATAGTCTGCACAACTTTTTCATTTAACTAGTCAGAAATAAGGAAACTAAATTTTGGTGTAACAATTGTAATTTAATATATTATTTAATATCCTGAGATGAATAAGACATTGTTCTACATGGCGCTTAATCATAACACGAGGAAGCAATATATTATATTCGTCATTTATCATAATAGCCTCACTGATTGATCTTTTCTGATATATTATTCTAGTTGAGTAATATTTCGTATACGTATACAGATTATGAACTTTTGTAAATTGCAAGAAAAATGCATGAAAATTATTTCCTTTCCAAACAAATTAGGATAACCTATAGTAAATGATATTTTATGATATGTGTCAGTTCAATATTATTTAATTCATATTCATTTTTCCTTCATTTAATACCTTGATTTTATTTGAATTAATTTATTAAATTTAAAGACAATTTTTGTCATCCCGGTACTGTTAAAGTCATATAATGAGTTAAAGTTAACTTGGAACCCAAACAAATCAAAGTTGAATTAAACAAATAAGTATTACACTTGCACATGAATATCTCAACGTTGTAACAATAATAAAAACATAAATTAGATCAATTATTTGGCACGGTTGATAGTATATATTATTTTTAATTACAGTCCATGTGAAGAAAAGATATAATTATGAAAAGTATTATGTCTTATATTTCAGCGGCTAAGTACTGAAATAATTTATTTATAAAAAAGAAAGATAATGATAAACAAAAGAAACTTACCATCGATAATGATACAATGTATCACCGCAATCAGCAACAGGTTGAAGATAAACAACACTTTATTATACTTTTTATCAAACAAGTTACACCGTTTGTTTTGTTTATTCAGACGAGGATAACCGACGACAACAAGACGCACAACGAATAATTTACCAAAATTTTGCTGATTTAGGCAATGCAGCAATAAATGTTTGTGAACCACCCATACAGGAGAGTGTTTATGTAAACGTTCCTGAATACGCAAGTATTCAGACGAAACAAGTTCCTAGTATTGTTGAAGGAAATGAAGACAATTTAAAGGAAGTTGTTGAAGTCAAGGAATCGGTAAAGCACCAAAATTAGTCAAAATAAAAAATACATGTTTGAGTTTTGTTCATGGCCATCGAGTCGTTTTTCTCTTTATCAATAGGCATGTTTGCCATTTAGTAACGAGAAACAATGGTCATCTTGTTGCAAGGTTTTATTTATGATTTCACTTGTTTTATTGCAAATATTTATATAGATTTATACTTATAAAAATATTCTTTTATGATTCGAGTTAAACATGAAATCGATTAATTTCATTATATGTTCCATTTTATTATAATTGTTCATAATATGTTATGTGTCACATTAACCTCCGTAAAAGAATGATGTATTGAACGAAGATGTTTTTTGTTCGTTCATACAAAATTCATTTTAGTTCGAATGTGTAGGAACAATAAGGTTATAGACACATTCTCAAATCCGTTCCAGGAAAGGAAGGGATGTAAATGTATTGCTTAAGGAAACATTGGTCTGCCTTTGTCTAGGTACCCGTTCTACTAAAGATCCTTAAATTACTAATCTGACGCGTAAACCACTCAGCCATACGGTCAAATTGATGTTATTTTGTTATTTTTGTTAGTCATTCGTTGTATGAAAATTGGTTTAAGAGAAATAAAATAGATTAATATAGTTTATAAAATGAGTTTATTTTTTTACAGATTTAAAGGTCTGTTGTAAAATGTGTTCATACTTTGAAATGCAGGTTGACGAGGTTTTATACGCAAATGCAGAGGAATATTTAAGGAGACGAGTTCCAGTTAATCAACTCCGAGAAATAATTGAAAACAAAACAGAGATAGAGTATTCTGAGGAATTCATGGTAACTTTCAAACACAGTTTTTTTTGGTTGATGTATTTATTATGTCTCTACCCCCACGACTTTAAAGAGATGGCATTTTTGGATGGTCGTTGTTTGTTTCATTATTCCCCAGTCCTGTTACCACGCTGTTTATCCGTAGATATGTTTTTTTTCTTCTGTAAATACAAAAGTCGCTACTAGTGCCATGTAACTAATAAATGAATAGCTGTTTGCATGAGAACATACGCGTTTGGGTATTCTGACGTAAGAAAAATCAACAAGACAAGTAATCCTAAAATATATTTAGGCAAAGTTTTGCCATTTTTGCCAACCTGTGTGAATGATGACACCCCCCCCCCCCCCCGATTTAGCAGAACTAGCATTTGAGACATGTCGTGTAACCCATCAAATACCCATCAGTGTACATGTTTTATTTAATAGTATACATTACTTATTTAATAGCTTTTTGTGACAAAACAGTAGAATATTCCAGTACTAGCAAAATGAATATGAATTATAACTATGAAAATAATACCTTAAGTATCTTCAAAAATGGGTTCATAATACATGACCCCAGATGTAAAGACTTTTGAAAATATAATTTTAGATGATTTAAACGTAATATGTTGTACCACCTATATAATTATGACAAAAGCAGATACTTTGGACCGCTGGATACTTTAATAACAGTGACTAAATATAATGCAATGGATACTTATAATAATAATAATAATAATAATAACAACAACAATAATAATAATAATAATAATAATAATAGCAATACATGTACTAATACTACTACTAATGATAATAACAATACTACTATAAAATAATAATAATAATAATGATGATGATGATTACGATGATGACGAATACAGTGATACTGATATTGTTTCATATACATAAATATACTATCCATTTTCAGTTGTTATATACGGACGTAAATAAAATTATAATTTCCTTTGTCGACTAAACAGGAAATTCAAAAAAGTAATGATGATGTTATGTTATCCATCACTATGTTCATCAATTTGTATTTGTCTTTGACTAACAAAGATATTAATCATATTCGTTTCCTTTTGATTTCTTAACGTTTAGATACTCATATAGCATTTGTGTCATACATAGTTTCATATCATACAGAGTAAAGAAATGCATGTACACATCAAAGTTTGTTTGTAATTTCAGAAGTTACCAGACGGACTTATTAAACCATTCTACGAATCACAGAAGGCAGAAAATGTGATGAAGAATCGTTATAAAGATGTTTGTCCATGTGAGTTAACGCATTAACACATGCCAATTTTAAAACAAAACGAAGACAATTTAAAGTCACAATACGGAGATTGACCCAACAAGATAACAGACATAGAATGTTCTGAAATTATATTTTATGCGCTTTATAAGCAAAATCAATATTAGAAAAGTTTTTGTAAATTAATTTTTCCTCCGTATTTCTGAAAGGAATGAATCATTTTAAGTACATCATTTTGTCATTTGCGATATAATTCTCTATTGAATTCATCAAATACTTGTTTCTTTGGTATATTTCTGTTGATCCTTGGATGCCCTAAGGGCGGAGTTTCATATATAAACGGGGGTAGATATTGAATAAATAAGATATCTATTTATTCAATATCTATATTATTTAATTATTTATTCATTTCGGTAAAAGATTGATTGTATTACCGAAATGTAGTTGTTTCAGTTTTTATGATATTTTCAAATGTAGTTTAAATATCAATATGAAATATATATTCTATTACACTAAACTCCGTTTGCATAACATATACACAACCGTGCCATGTTTCTTTATTGAGAAGGAAAGTCTGCAAAGATATGTACGGTGTCCTATTTCGTCTACTATACAAGATTTTACTAGAAACACGCGATAGTTATCGCCTCTCGTTTTTCATAAATTTCGCTAGTCTTTCGGGCGATGATTATCGCCTTTTCTAGAGCACAATTAATATGAAAACTTTGCCTTGATATTCATCGTTTAATTTTCGTATGTTGTGTGTTCTTAACGCGCTAATTATCGCATGAGTGACTAGCGACAATGATGATTATTGCCTTTATAGAAAATAGATAATTTTTTGCTTACGAAATATGAAAACTACGCCTTGATATTTATCGTCTTTATTTTCGTATGTTGTGTGTTCTTCACGCGCTAATTATTGCATGAGAGACTGGCGAAATTTAACACGCGATAATTATAGCCTCTGAAAGGAGAAATTTAATTAAGACTTAGCCATTAATGTAGATGTGTTAGTTATTGCGTGATAACTAGCGAAATGTTGTGAACGAAATATGACACCGTAGATATTCTATGAAATATGTCATTGTATGATTAACCGCTACAGATGACAACAGAAGGGTTATTCTTAAAGACAGAGAATCAGACTACATCAATGCCAGTTATATAGACGTAAGTCAGATCTTTAAGACATATACTTCTTATAGCATTTCAAGTTCGTTACATAGATAGGCATATTTATAGGGTAAAAATATAAAAAATACACACAAAAACGCAAAATTATAACAAAATGCTTAGTCATAAAATGGTTTAACCAAATGCCCTAAATCGTGATAATAATACACATAAATAATTGAAGTCCTTCTGTTTTTTGATGTTGTATTTGTACTAGTTAATGAGTTCGCTCATACCTTTGATTTATATGGAATATTTAATAATTTCACAACTGAGGACAATAATTTACTTATTATAGATATAGTACTCCAGACTTGAGAATTCCATTCTATTGTGTTTAATGTAATATTGAAGCTTTGTTCTAATTCTAGGGTTATAAAAGACAGAAGATTTATATAGCATCTTTAGGTATGCATCTTACTATCTATGTTATTATCTTATTATTTATATAATTAATATACATGTTAAAAAACTATGGAGTCTTCAAACAGGTCTTTAACCTTAACCTGCTCAATGTATGTATTGATTTTTGCTGCCCTGCTTTGGACTGCGGAACAGTTTATTCGGCTTCGAAGCAGCCGAATCTTATATGATTTTGAATAAGACATATTATTTACTGCGGAATAACACGATATATTTTGCGATTCGTGAATAAAAACACAATTCACATACATGAGCTATACACTTTATGAACAATTTAAAATTTATTGTTTTGTTGGTCTGGAGTGTACCTGTACTGTCACAGTATAAAATCGAGTACTACTAGTACGGACGTAATGAAGTTTTTGTGTCGTAATGGTTCCCCTTTAATTTCAACAACTTCGCAGATCTAAATAGGCATTCGTCTAGGTAGCATTGCACAGCTGACCATTTCTTCGCAGCCATTTTACGCGTGCGTGAGACATCGCTTGGTCCTATATATAGAGGTTTCAATAAAAGTAGAAAAGAGAGCTGCCAACAGCGCATAACCGTGGCATACTGCGCGTTTCAGTCAGTTATAATTGTTTAGAAATTATCAACATTGAACTTTGAAATAATCTTGGTAGCGTACATAAACAGTTAACAATAATAATTGAAATACATGCCGATATTAATATATTAACGTAGTATCTTATCTCAGTGTTGCTTTTTTTAAAATTGTCACTAATTACTTAATGTAATGAAATAGAATGTATCGAAAATGAATGATTAATTACATTATTTAAAACTTTATAAGCGTTTATATTCAGCTTGTGTCAGTAGTTGCAATATATGCCGGTGTTATTATAGCAAAGTATAATCTTATTTACGTGTCACTAATAACATAAAATGACGAAAAAGAATGTATCAAAAATTATTTTAAAACCGTAACAAATATCATTTACAGGACCAACAGTTAAGCAAATGGGAGCTGATTTTGGAGTATTCTGGAACATGGTTTGGCAAGAAAGAGTTTGTAAAATAGTCATGCTGACAAATCTTATAGAACAAGGGGTAATGTTCCAAACTTTGTTGTTTGTTTGATTATTTGACACATTATCTATGATCTTTATTCATTCAACTGAACAAGGCGTCTGTTTAAGGAAGAATACCTGTTTATATTTCGTTATTTTTTAGGGAAAACGTGTACAGTAATTATTTTATTCATATTTGCAAAAATGTTAGTTTTACTGATAATGTAAAAAGTATAAACATTTATTACGTAAGTTTAAGGAGACAATATCTTCATTTCTTTCGCTGTACAGTTAAATTAAACTAGCAGCATATTTAAAAAGATTATCCTTTATAATGGTAATTGACCAATAATTGATAACGTTTATGATACGTTGCCACGATATTAATAGAAATGTTCGTAATATATTATTTTTCATTGTAAATACAATTATGGCAAAAATGTCAAGATGTTTTGATTCTTTACTGACCAATTACTTTTTGATTGGCATAATGTCACTTTCAATTTGAAAACAAATAAAAAACAATGATTTTATTAAATTGTATTGACAACGTTACATTGCATTATTATCAAATGACATCGATTGAAAGATATATTACATGTAATAAAAATATCACTTATAATAACTTATTTCTATAAAACACAGGTTCAGAAATGTGACAAATACTGGCCGGATAAAGATGTATGCATCATGTATGAAGACGTGAAAGTAACATGCCAGTCTGAGGAGATATATCCTTGTTTCACAGTCAGGATTTTCTCCGTCGAGGTAAAGACGTTCTGTATTATTGCTATAAGTCAAAAACTAAAACCCAAACTATTTGTTTTGCTTACAATAGTTAACATAACTTGAAAAAGGAGGTCACTTAAAACAATGGAACGCAAAATCAAAATGAAAAAAAAAAGTTACTGTGAGGGGTAGATTCAAAACTCTCATGACCATAGCCCCGGCATTTGGCAGTTTTGAACCACACGCTTTTTAGGCATTTTTGAACCACCAACTAGAGCAAAAGCGCTTTAACGCAGTTATAAACCACCAAAAGAAGCAAAAAATCTTTTCTTACATATCAAAATTATAGTTTGTTTTTTCTAAAGTATTTTTTGTGACATATCGAACGCATAGATGTATTCGGAATGGTTATTTCCTTTTTTTAATTCCAGTACAACGTATAAGTAATATGAGCACAGTAACTGTAATTTATAAGAATAAATAAATCTTAAAAATTGAAAATTAAAAAAAATAAATACCATAAGACAAATATAAGAGATTATTGAAACATTCCTTTATATTTGGAAAATAATTGTGTATTGGCTTTATCCCATACAGAAAACTGAAAAGAGAATACTTTATCAGATGCATTTCACAGCCTGGCCAGACAAGAGTACACCGCGGGATGTCCATGGCATGATCGAGTTTTGGGAGAAATTGACAAGAATACCTCGATTTGAGCTGGGGCCTATACTTGTCCACTGCAGGTATCAGTTCCTATTCTGTGTCATATCAAAACTTGAATATAATAAGTAAAAAAATATATTATCTTGCATTAAATATGGTTAGGGACACATTTTAACCTGTTTTTCATTTTTTTTATACTAAACCACATTGATACGAATATTGTAAAACATGTACTATAGTTGTTTGTGTTTTTAAGAAACTTTAGGACACTCCGAATACGTGAATACATTGTACATGTAAAGAAATGAGTGTCTCTCGTGTACTACCTTTTTAGTGCCGGTGTAGGACGAACAGGAACATTTCTGGCATTAGATATATTAGCCAATGAGGGAGTTGCTGAGGGTACCGTGGACATATTTGCATGTGTCAGAAACTTAAGAGAAGATCGAGTTAATTTAGTACAAACAGTGGTAGGTTGTCATTTCACTATCTCGAATAATAAAAAGGAAAAACATCGAAATTGAGGCATACGTCCATCTGTTTGTGTTATTGACTACAAAATTTTATTAAAACTCTAAACAATGTTCATTAATTTTTTAATTGCAATCTGAAGAGACTAAACTTATTGATGCCAATACTTAATAACAACCTTTTTTGTACGGTTTGTGTCATACAATGGGTGAGTACACTGAGTCATTCATTATAAACAACTTCAATTAAAAACAAAACATTTCGGTATAATATTTTAGCTGTTGGCTTGAAAATCTATTTAAACGTGTATTCATAAAACTAAATATTCATAGAAACGAGACAGAAATGAATTATCGTATTAAGATTTTACATCTGATTTGCATTACGAATATCATTTTTGTTCATGATTTTACAATAAAGTCCCATGGCTAAGATGTCTGTTAGTTATTATAATTACAATCTCTTTTATAATGTAAACGTTATAAACATTTTAGGAGCAGTACAAATTCCTTCACGAGGCTTTGTTACACCTTTTATCTTCTGACACATCAGTAAAGGCGCTTCTTACAAGCGATCGGGCAGTTCAGCACAATACACAAGAGCGTAAATTGGCTGTTGAAGATATACATGAAATGGTCTAGTCATTTAGCTATGATTATATATTGACTTTAATTCATTCTAGGAGTTAAAGATCCTGTATGTTGTAATTAAGGATGTAACAACATTGAAGTGAAATTTTATATAATTTTATGTATATCATTATTCTTCTAAAACAATTTTCAAACAACCAAGATTATGTTAAATATGTACTGCAAATGTGTATAGTTTTTCACATTATTTGTAATCATTAAAATTAATGCATTCATTTCGTTGTTGAAGATTTGGCTTAGACTTTATAGAAAATGAATTTCTAATTGCTTCCCTTTATTTATATGAAATGTAAGTTCGGTAATATCTTTGCAAATAATGCTATTTGGAACTTACAATATTGATAAATCTTTATATTTATGATATAAAACACACAAAAAGAGAATCTTCAACAGTCTTTTTTTGTAGATAAAAAACAAAATAGATTATTTTGAGAAAGAACAATTACATAGACAATTGGAAGACTATCAATTACAACATAGTGTAGTAACATTATTGTAATTAGAATATTTGATATTGTAAAATATTCAAAAGGGAAAATCATGGATGTATATGTAGCATGTAAGATAAATTAATCTAATTATTCATTACACATAATTATTTTATAGCAGAAATCACTTTCCGTTACTGCTAACGTATGAACTGCTAACGTATGAAAATTGTACATAAAATGCATCATATTATTTTTTTATGTTTTTAGTTGCGTAAAAAAGTTATTTTTACATACTTCATTATTATACAGACATTTCATATATAGAAATTACTTATATTTTGATACAAGAAAATAATGATTATTTTGGAAATATCTTCTTATATTTTTAAGTTTTCTATATTCCACTTATTTCGAGAACACTAGAGAGCTGAATGTGTGCATTGTTGTACAGTACTGTACCAGATTTATAAATTAACTAAATTAACTAAATATATAATGTTATCGCTTTGAAATAAAGAACCAAATTTTTAAATGTCTTGTTACTATATCAAAAAATCAAGAAAACATAAGCCTTACAATGGGCATCTCAAGGAACGTCATTTTAATACAACAACTGCCCAGTCAAAACGTTCAAACTGTGTAGCGACATAAATGTCAATAGACATAAGAGGGTTGTCCCAAAAGTTCGTGACAAATTTTATAGTCGGTTCATTTTTAACGCCAATAGATGATTATTCACACATACAACCTAAAAGTTTATTAATTTACATTACAACAAAACATCTACAAAGTATCTAATCTAGTTTCTTAAAACGTGTCAGTATAAAAGACATTGTTTTGTCTTCCCAGCGCATGTCGAATAATTTGCTTTTCAGTTAAATAACTTAAGAAATGCATGATACAAAAAATGAAAATATCTCATACAAAATAGGAAAGTAAAAATGGCGACGTCAGAAGAATTTGCGGCGCAGTAAACAGTTATCAGGTTTCGTGAGTATTTCGGAACGACATCTTGTTAATATTTCTCAACTAATGTACGGAATAGCAACATATCCGAGCATTTGCTTGTAGATACATGAACGGATCCAGACTTCCACACTACAGAAAGCGAAAAAATGAATAAAAAGACCGAACTCTGTCGCCTGTTTCCTTCCGCTAAGGAAGGTACAACGAGACCGGAAGTTCGTTTTTAGCAAAACTTTAATATATGCCATCCAAACATTCAACAATTACTTTATTTAAGTCTTTAAGTGATGATTTATGGGTAAAACTGCACCGTTTTTGCGTTAAAAACCATGGAGAATATTTGAGAAAGGCACCTAATATAGCTTAAACGCCATCTTTGACATCTGACGTGTGCCGCGATTCAGATACATTGTAGTTGCCATGGTATTTTTTGTTCGTTGATATTTTTCTATGTAAATCTGTGAAAACGTTTCCATTATATATGTTTATAACATATTAAAAATGTCACATTTTTACAAACATTATTTAGCCTTTAAACACCCATGTCACAGAATATTAGGACAACCCACGTAGTTCTAACAAACCTATTTTCATACATATATTTAATACTTCAGAGCGTATCCAATCTTCAATTGTTGTTGAGATTGTGTGCTATTTATATGATAAGTCATTTAAAGTTAAGAATTCTAACGTTAAGTAACGATACATATAAATAAAATTATAAATTTACACACACCAAGTCATATATCACAACAATTTTATAAGTTAAAAGATTTTGTCCCACATCCAGTGAGTTCGTTCTTAAGAGACAAATAAATCAAGCTGCACAGAAACAGCGCGCAAATACCACAGATAGCATTGCCATCAATATGCTTATAAATCTCTGTATCTTGTTTTGACTTTAAAAGCAGCGAATCAGTTTATATCAGCAGCGGTTTTTGCATATAGGCCATATTTAAATAATAATTCCGCAAGACGTCATAATTGTTATTGTACCTTAGTTAAACATTGTTTGGTTGACCGGCCTCGACTACCAACAAAGATTTGACATCTCTTGCTGTTATGATTTCTATATAAATACACAGTATGAGGTTCTAAGCATCGTGTCTAGAATCATGAAAGACATCACATAAACCGGAGGTCTCACTATTGTTCTTTTAATAATATTAAAGAAAAATAACCAAATTAAAGTATACGAATAAATGATCTCAAATAAATTTGTTCCTGTTCCTGTTTACCCCTACTAAATACTGGCTATTTCACATTTTGATGATCTGTTTAAATGAGAGCCATTTCTCTTTAACATAACTATCAATGGCTCTTATTTAAACAGATCACCGAAATGTAAGAGAGCCAGCGTTTAGTTGGGGTGCTGAAGCTACATTTGAATTTTTAACACGTTACAATGGACAAAGCGGCGACTATGGTATGATCTTACTTGAGTCTGTGTTAATAATGGCTATACTAGACATACGTGTAATAATTGATAATATGAATAATTCGATGAAATAATCGACATGATTGAAATGACTTTGTAATACACAAACAAAACTTAGTCAATAAAAGTACATATAAGATAATACATGCACATCGAATATTGCATATGACATAAAATACAGCTTCTTTGATAAAAAATCTTAGAAATGAAATAAGTATGGTAACCTGTCCTATACATTATACATGCTTAGCCTAATAAGTTTTTAACAATTGACACAAATGCCCAAATAAATATCATTGTGAAGATGAATAATTACAATTTAGGAGATGTAGTACAACTGTATTTTTTACAACTGATAAATATTGCCATGTCACGTTGGTAACAATTCTTTACACCATACATAGGTTGGAAACAAAAAAAGCCATGGAACATCAACGCTATTCGTACATAACGTTAAGAAAGTATATTTCCCCATTTGTAAAATTAAATAAATAAATAAAATTAAAAAAAAAATTAAATAAATGACATAAAAAGTAAATATATACTATTTTGTTGCTAAAGCCAAATCTAGAGTGAAACTTTACTCCCGTCTCATTCCTTTAATGGGATAATGATCTAATAAACAGTGTCTTGCGGAGCCCTTGCTACAGCATTGATAAAAGCACAGTATATTAATAAGTCTATTTCCTGTTATCACAAGATTTAAATAGAAATATAAAGGCTTCCATGAAGGGTACAGTGATAAGGCGTAACACGCACCTGTTATAATAAAAATAAGGTCACGTTGAATTGTATAGGCTTTCAAGACAGGGTACGATGATTTCGTTTGTATACTGTGAAAAATCACTCGTTACATTTACGATTGATCTTATCCTGAGATTGAATCGTATCAACGATGTAAGAAGAATTTTATGAAAGTCTCATATCATTATTGTCAATAACTAGGTCATAACATTTTCGTATCAAACATTCCATTAGAATCTGGTTTTCCAAAGTTTAGTTCAGTTTCGTACTCGTGTCTACTTTTATGTAACTTTATTTATCTGTTATTTACCATCATTATAGCATTACGTTATTAATCTTTTCATCCACCTTAACCGGGCCTCCACAAAATGTCAGTATGCTCTTAAAAACGACTTGATCTGATACTTTTGATGCGTTAATTAATAAAATTAAATAAAAGAAATTTAGATCGAAATTCCCCTAAAGTTGAAAGTATTAAGATAATAGACACAAACCAGAAGGACCCATCAGGGCTTCCTTGTGATGTCATACTTTTATTTATAATTTAAATAAAAAATGCACAATTTGCCAGACATAATATTATAGGATAAAGCTTTAATCAACTAAGTCATTGCATAAGTCAGTATACAAATAATCATTTAATAAAGGTTTCTTTTTATTATATGAATGTTATTTTTCCTTCCTTGTTATATTGTCATTATGTATCATAACAAAAGATGATATATTTATGCAGTACAAACCCTCAATTAAGACCACCATTGGAACTGAACGAAAGTGGCCTTAATTGTGGGGTTGTCTTAATTGTGAATCAATACTGTGAATGAATTATCATATCATTGCTTACTGTATGACCATGGTCTAATTCAGTTATTTTGTATGAACACACAATATGTTTCTTAACCTGCTAAACAATAGTAAAGTGTGTTATAATAAATAATCTAATAAGAGGAAAACATATTTTTGTTGAAATTTAATATTACATTCTATTTGGTCTGATTTTAATCTCATCAAATGATATAACTATAATATGATGTACATTATTCAACTATAAAAGAAGAAAGTAAATCTTCACAAAAATGCTGAAAGCAACATTAAACTATTCTTAGATTTACTTTCTCACCTTTTTCATACAATAACCCGAAAAAAACAGTTTTTGGCACCTTGGGATATCAAGTGTCTTACCTAAGAGCATTCTAGCAGATAATGGCAACAAAAAAGATTAAGGTAGGTGTTGTCTGTAATATCAGTGGTTTCAATAATTGGGTCAAATTAAGAATAAAACAAAGAATTGGGACTGAATCTAGTGGTCTTAAAAGTGGATAAGCGGGGTGGTCTTAATTCTGAATTATGTAACCAATGACATATAGAATAGAAAAAGGGTGGTCTTAAGTAGGGATTCTACTGTATTATGCATATTTGCAAACATATTGTGTTCTTCTAGATACTCGCCCAATTACAGACTTGAATTGAGACACCAACATTAAACTGATATTTCAAGGATTTGTACATTCACTTTTAATTACTGGTGTAACGCGGAAAATAATTCGGATATTAAGGAAAACATAAACTGTAAGTTATCTTTTCAAGTATTTCTAATCATTTATCATGGCATATCGATAATTTATTTTTTAATGGAATTCAACCTGTTTATTCCGTCTGAGAATATTTTATGTTTTCTAGCGATTGCATATTAGACAAATAGTCACCAACTCTTTAATTGACTTGAATTACTAAGTATATGAGTATTTATAATTACTTAATATAAACATATATGATACGCATCTTGAATGTACTTATACATGTCAATATGATAAACAAAACGGCTGGCAAATGTTTTTCTTTTCATTTTGATAGATCATAAAAGTAACATTAAAATCTTATATACTTCTGCACCAACAAAAGTAATCTGGAATATAAGGAAAAAAGGAAATAAAAAACCTTAATATATGGAAAAATGACAAATGACAACTTTTATTGTTGTTGTTGATATAATGTCTGACAGTATTTTTGAGGTCATATACGTTCTGAGTGTCACAGTTTTGATAGTTTCTGAAATCGCTAAATAGCAACGACTTCAGTAATTTATTTGCAAATAACCCGGAAATTATCTGTATAGGCTTCTTATTTAAGTGTGACCCAGGATAAAATTGACCGTTAGAAATTTAGATTAAAGCAATAAAGTGTTGTATACTCTATATACACACACATATACTCTGTCAGCACAAATTTATATTTCATTTAAACATGTTTTTATATCTGTGATTTTTCGAAACTTCGAATATGTATAAATACTCA